GAGGGAAGTTCATAGCTCTACAAGCCTAATACAAAAAACAAGAAACAATGATAATAAATTACCTAACCCTACAACTCAAAGTGTTAGAAAGAGAGCAACAAGAAAAGCCCAGTGTAAGCAGAAGGAAGGAAATAATAAAGATCAGAGCAGAGATAAACTACATAGAGACCAAAAAAACAATACAAAAGATCAACGAAATCAAGAGCTTGTTCTTTGAAAGGATAAACAAGATTGATGAACCTCTAGCCAGGCTCACCAAGAAGCAAAGAGAGAGGACCCAAATAAACAAACTCAGAAATGAAAGAGGAGAAATAACAACAGACCCTACAGAAATACAAATGATTGTTAAAAAATACTATGGGGGAGGCCGGGCCTCCCCCAACTCTGAGGGCAGGGCCCCCACACAGAGTCTGTGTGGACTCCCCTGCCTGCATCAGGCTGGGGAGAGGCGCCATGGGGAACGAATACTGAGTCAGAACTGCATGCGGCTTTTCTGTTGTGGTTAATCCTCCCCAGGATATTCTTTCCATTGATTTTCAGAGAGTGGGAGGGAGGGGCAGTGAGAGAGAAACAGCGGCTGGTTGCTTACCACACGCCCCTGAACCCCACATGCCCCTGATCCAGGCTGCGAGGTGAGCCTGTAACCGAGGTGCCTGCCCTTGACAGGGAACTGAACCTAGGACTCTTCAATCCGAGGGCAGGCATGCTAACCATTGAACCACCAGCAGGGGTGCACAAGGTTGTTTTTATAATTGGATTCTTGCAAGAAAAAAAAAACAAAAAACCTCTATTCCAACAAACTGGACAACCTGGAGGAAATGGACAAATTCCTAGAAAAATACAACATTCCAAAACTCAATCAGGAAGAATCTAAAAACCTCAATAGGCCAATAACTATGGAAGAAATTAAAGGAGTAATCATAAAGCTTCCAGCAAACAAAAGCCCGGGGCCAGACAGCTTCACAGGGGAGTTTTATCAAATATTCAAGGAAGAACTAAAACCTATCCTCTCAGACTATTCCAAAAAATTCAAGAGGAAGGAACACTTCCAAGCTCATTCTATGAAGACAGCATCACCCTAATACCAAAACCAGATAAAGACAACACAATGAAAGAGAATTACAGGCCAATATCCCTCATGAACATAGATGCCAAAATCCTCAACAAAATCCTAGCAAATCAGATCCAGCAGTACATCAGAAAGATCATACACCATGACCAAGTAGGATTTATTCCAGGGATGCAAGGATGGTACAATATCCTCAAATCAATAAACATGATACATCACATAAACAAATTGAGAGATAAAAACCACATAGTCATATAAATTGATGCAGAAAAAGCGTTTGACAAAATCCAACACCCATTTTTGATAAAAACTCTCAGCAAGGTGGGAATAGAAGGATCATACCTCAACATAATAAAAGCCATATATGACAGGCCCACAGCCAACATCATACTCAATGGGCAAAAACTAAAACCATTTCCCCTAAGAACAGGAACAAGACAGGGATGCCCACTCTCACCACTCCTGTTTGACATAGTACTGGAAGTATTAGCCATTGAAATTAGACAAGAAGAAATAAAAAGGCATCCAAATTGGAAAAGAAGAAGTAAAATTGTCCTTATTTGCAGATGACATGATATTGTACATAAATAATCCTAAAGACTCCATCAAAAAACTATTAGACTTAATAAATGAACTTGGCAATGTAGCAGGATACAAAATTAATGCCAAGAAATCTATGGCATTTCTATACACCAATAGTGAACTTACAGAAAGAGAGACTAAAAAAGCAATCCCATTTACCATCACATTAAAAAAATTAAGATACCTAGGAATAAACTTAACTAAAGAGGTAAAAGACCTCTACTCAGAAAACTACAGGACGTTGAAAAAAGAGATAGAGGAAGACATAAACAGATGGAAGAACATACCATGTTCATGGATTGGTAGAATCAACATCATTAAAATGTCCATACTACCCAAAGCAATCTATAAATTCAACGCACTCCCCATTAAAATACCAACATATTTTACAGACCTAGAACGAACTCTCCAAAAATTCATCTGGAATAAAAAAAGACCCCGAGTAGCTGCAGCGATCCTGAGAAAGAAGAACAAAGTAGGTGGGATCTCAATACCAGATATCAAGCTGTATTACAAAGCCACTGTTCTCAAAACTGTCTGGTACTGGCACAAGAACAGACATATAGATCACTGGAATAGAATAGAGAGCCCAGAAATCGACCCAAACCAATATGCTCAATTAATATTTGACAAAGGAGGCATGAGCATACAATGGAGTCAAGACAGTCTCTTCAATAAGTGGTGTTGGGAAAATTGGACAGATACATGCAAAAAAATGAAACTAGACCACCAACTTACACCATACACAAAAATAAACTCAAAATGGATAAAGGACTTAAATGTAAGACGGGAAACTATAAAAATACTAGAGGAATCCAAAGGCAACAAAATCTCAGACATAATGCCGAAGCAATTTCTTCCCCGATATAGCTCCTAGGGCATTGGAAACTAAAGAGAAAATAAACAAATGGGACTACATCAAAATAAAAAGCTTCTGCACAGCAAAAGAAACCATCAACAAAACAACAAGAAAGCCCACTGCATGGGAGAACATATTTGCCAATGTTATCACCAGTAAGGGTTTAATCTCCAACATTTATAGGGAACTCATACAACTTAACAAAAGGAAGATAAACAATCCAATCAAAAAATGGGCAAAGGACCTAAATAGACACTTTTCAAAAGAGGACATTCAGAAAGCCAAGAGAAATATGAAAACTTGCTCAAAGTCACTAATCATCAGAGAGATGCAAATCAAAACAACAATGAGGTACCATCTCACACCTGTCAGAATGGCTTTCATCAACAAATCAACAAACGACAAGTGCTGGAGAGGATGCAGAGAAAAAGGAACACTCGTGCACTGCTGGTGGGAATGCAGACTGGTGCAGCCACTATGGAAGGCAGTATAGAGTTTCCTCAAAAAGTTAAAAATGGAACTCCCATTTGACCCAGTGATCCCACTTCTAGGAATATATCCCAAGAAACCAGAAACACCAATCAGAAAGGATATATGCATCCCTATGTTCATAGCAGCACAATTTACCATAGCTAAGATTTGGAAACAGCCTAAGTGCCCATCAACAGATGAATGGATTAGAAAACTGTGGTACAGCCCTAACCAGTTTGGCTCAGTGGATAGAGCATCGGCCTGCGAACTGAAGGGTCCCAGGTTCAATTCCGGTCAAGGGCATGTACCTTGGTTGCGGGCACATCCCCAGTAGGGGGTGTGCAAGAGGCAGCTGATCGATGTTTCTCTCTCATTGATGTTTCTAACTCTCTATCCCTCTCCCTTCCTCTCTGTAAAAAATCAATAAAATATATTTAAGAAAAAAAGAAAACTGTGGTACATCTACACAATGGAATATTATGCTGCTGTAAAAAAGAAGGAATCCTTACCATTTGCAACAGCATGGATGCAACTGGAGAGCATTATGCTAAGTGAAATAAGCCAGTCAATGAATGAAAAATACCACATGATCTCACTCATTTATGGATAATAAAGACCATTATAAACTGATGAACAAAAATAGATACAGAGGCAGAGCAGCATCGAACAGACTGTCAAACTACGGCAGAGAGGGTTGCGGTGGGGGGGGGGGGTAAGAGATCAACGGAAGGACTTGTATGCATGCATATAAGCGTAACCAATGGACTCAAGACACTGAGGGGTAGGGGAGCCGGGGGAAAGTCAAGGGGGGAAAAAAGAGACATATGTACCACTCTTTGTAATATTTTAAGCAATAAAACAAAATAAAAAAATAAAAAAAGAAGGCTGATATACAGCTACATATAGATATACAGCTACCATTGGGGCTGGATCTTGGGGTCCTCCCCATTAGTATACAAGTGTAGAAACCCTCCAGCTCTCCATTATGCACCACAGCAGGTAACTATGTAGCCTGTCAAGCTTCATTTTCTCTAAGTCTAAAATAGGCACAATGGTGTCTATAATTTATAGTGTGGTTGGGAGAATTAGATGACATAATGTACACAACGCAATTAACACTGCCTGGCACATAGTACATGGTCAATGACTTGTAACTATGCTTCCAGTAATAAAACTTTTTGTCTAAAAGATAACTTTACAATATCATTTGACAAATACAGAATTTACACGCACTAGCACTCTGCCAAAAAGAAAAATTATCTTTTAAAGTAACCCAAGTTAAATGTGCATAAAAAGGCTTTGAATGGAGCCTGGCTCCTTGCCAGATGACTTTCAGTGTCTGAATTCAGAACAAATATATTATTATAAACAGTTCCAAAAAGATCATGGACTTTGTAGTGACCTGTTCAAGTCACTTACACTCTCTGAGCCTCAGTCTCCTCACCCATAAAATGGGAATCATTCCCACATCATCAGGTAATACTGAGGTTTTAGATGTTATTTGCAAAAGACCTAATAGTATCTTGCACATTTGTAGGTAATCATTTTAAAGCAGATGGAATAAAAGAATTCACTGGAGAGTTTATTCAGAGCTGGAAAAAATTTTAAGAGAAAAATTTCCATCCTCGGTACTTCATTTTCCCCTTCTTTGTAGCATTCTTACACATTGCCTTCTACTCTAATCAGCTGTGCTCCTCCTAAGGCTACACAGGTTTATTTGATTTGATTTATCTCTGCATCTTCTTCCAGCCCTACATCACCCTCCAAGAACCTACCAGTGGCTTATCCAAAGACAGTAATAAAACGCTGGAAAAGTCCACCTGCAGGAGAATTTTCACCATAACTCAGCCTGAGGAAAGTGGGGTTCTCCTCCGGAAAGAGGAAGACAAGAACAGAAATGTTCCCAGACTATAAATCATTTTTAACTACAGGAGAAATTTCAGAAACAATATTTTGCTTAGCTTACTTCATTTCCTACTTTCTACTAAGATAAGAATGACATCTGAGAACAAGGCTTACCTATTTGCACCATTTCTTCATTACCAGCCTGGAAAGGAGGGGGGGAAAGTAAGAAAAAGAAACAGTTACTGGGTTTCATCTTATCACCTCGTGCGTTTTATTTCTACCATTAGTGCCTTTCAGGAGCTAGCTAATCAGGAGATGCCGGAGACCCGGATTGGTGCCTCCAGGCTGCACCTGGGTTTGTAGAAGGTTCTTGTGTCCTGAGCAAGAGCCAATTCAGTAACAATTCGGGGCAGGGAATTGTTTGCCCGTTTTAATTTTAACTGAACATTTATGAAATCAGCAAAGTTAAATAGTGACACTCAATGTTCTTTTCCGAAAACTCCAGATACTGGGTCAGGATTAGAAAAGAGAGTCTATATATTATACGTGTGTAAAGAAGCCTCAAGGGGGGCCTGGTGTATCAGATTTGAAGTCAAGAATGAACCATTTCATACTTTTTACCCTATGTTCAGACCAGGCAGACCAGAGAAGCTACAAAAACCCACAGTCGTGTTCTGCACCCCAAATCCCACCAGCCCCGTGAGGATGTGAATTACTACAAACGCCTTGGCTCGCCCCGCCGAGCCTTCTTAAGGACTCTTCTGAGAGCATCGGGCTTCACCTTGAGTCTCCAAAGGGTGGGGGCTGGGCCAAAAAGAAACAGAGCTGCACTCAGCTTTAAAGAGGAGGAGCTGTGCAGAGGGGGAGGGGAGAGCAGCGGCCGGCGCCTCCCGCCTCTGCCCAGGAAAATGCAGGGCAGGAAACGTCCCAGCCCCCCTTCGCAACTGTCAAACCCCAGCCCCGCCGCAGTCCTCCCAGGACACGTGTCTGCTGGATGGCTCCCTGTCCGGCCCAAGGACTTCCTGAAACCCCCGCTTCTGTCTGCCCGAAAAAGCTGTGAGTCAGTGAGAAGAGAAATCCCCGCGAACCCGACTCCGGTGGCAGCAACCAGAGCACTGGGATCCTGGACCCCGCGTGCAGAGCTTCATTCAAGCGCCCCGACCGCCTCCGGAAAGGGGAAACCCAGACGGCCCGGCGAGGATGCGAATGGGCTGCAGTTTGTAACCAAGAATTGTTACGAATGCCGCAGAGTGGGGAAGCCCCAGGTGTGACAAGCCTGGGCTCCCGGAGTGAGAGTCCTCGCCTCCCGTGCAATTCAACCCCCCACCCACCCCACCCACCCCCAAAAGCCCCGCGCAGTGCACCCAGCCCTCAAAACACCGTTCCTGAAGGCACCAGATAACAGGGAAGGGTGGGAGGGGAGGAGGAAAGAGGAGGGGAAAGAGGGGAGGAACTTTTTCGGGAAAAGGTTGGGTTTGAGTTTTTCATTATTTTCCACTTACTTGTCCATCAGCTGAAGTCCTAACCTGTACCAGAGCGGCTGCTATCAACCAAAGTGACAGGAGAACCATCACGAGTCGAGTTGACTTTTCAACTACTGGGCAAAGCAAATGCCCAGAGCATACACCCCCCAAAATAAGTTTCTTAAAAAAAAAATTAAGGGGGGGATAAAAAGCAGAATAGAAAAAATAAAAACCTGATCTTCTGTGCTTTGCTTCAATGAAAATGAAATCTGAGCTCTGAGACTGGCCCCCTGTGCTCTGCAGTCTTTTCCACTTCACCTTCTCACCCCGTCCTCCCCAACAGAGCGCAGGAGCGAGAAGGTGCTGCGCGCCCCGCACGGGCTGCGCTGCCGGGAGAGGGGGAAAGGGACGGGGGGCTGCCAACTAGGCTCTGCCCGGGGCGGGTTTTCTCTAGGGCTTCCTTAGCACCATTGATCCCCACGGTCCGGGGCCAAGAAATGCTTGGGTCCTCCCAAAGCACA